TTTCCAAGTGAAAATAGCTCTCATGCGGCATTGCTGCACCAATAGAAGTATTCATCCTATTATAGAAATTGTAATAATAATATATATCTCAGAGAATAGAAAAAGGTTTGGATTGCCATTTATTGAACAGGCTAGACAAATTAGCACAACAACTTGTAGGACTATTTAGTGAAAAACATGTAGTATCATGTAGTATTATGTAGTTTCTATACATATTACAATTAGTACAGTTTACAATTCTATGTATTAGTGGTGAGAGCTATGGGATTTTAATCAGAGTCCAAGATTGGATACTCGCTTCGGACACCATAATGTCAAACATAATTGGGTCTTTGTCTTCAAAGATTTAAATCATTGATCATTTTCAAATATCAATTATATATATTCTATTGATGGAGTACTCATAATTTCTGAACTAACATACGTCATACGTTGTATGAATTATTTAAAGAATATTCAATCAAATAGTAATTTACATCATATAATTTTTCTTCTCAATTTCCATCTGCAGCATCCGAGGACATCGTTGCCAATTCAAATATTTTCCACAATACGTAACTTTAATATCATGTATCTAGTATTAATACACATATTGTATTATAGAGCACGAGGAATCTATTATGTGACAACCAATGCAAACCTCCATATGCCAAAGGATTTCCAGAAAAGGACGCCATAGAAGGGCGCAATCTCTTCGAGGAGGATTAGCTTTTACATCACGAACTCGTACTGTATAACCAAGTAATTTTATCGTATATTGTGTTAGTACCTGGAAAATAGTTCTCAGTTCTATTAGTAGAATAGTTAGATAAATTGAAAATAGTTTCGAAAGAAGTGTTAGAACAATGCTGAAACCGCAGCAGATATTGCAGATGAATCAAGGGTTTTGCGAAATCTAAATAACTTACAAACGGTTTTTAAGGTATCATGATTCATTAAGAATCACTTATACAATGAACTAAAATTAATTACATTCATTTAATCAAGAATTTAATTACGTAGATAGCAAATTTATGCTTTTTCAACATGCCCCAAAATAAATATTTAAAGGGTAAAAATAATTTTGAAATCTATATTACTTAGCTAACAAAATTTATTTTTAAAAAAAAAGCAAATTAATCATGCATAAAACTAAAATATTAGGTATACTATTCATTTATAATATTTAAATTCTCCGTCAGAAATTACATTTATTTTCTAAGTGTGCATTTTTTTTGCAAATGAACATATTTTTTTTATTTATTTATAACGTTTGCCAGAATGCCAGATTTGTCTATAGTCTATTAAAAATCGTTATACTTTTTTTAATAAATAAATACATTTTTTCAATCACAAAATATATCAAAATACACTTCATGCTCTGGCACATTTCAATAACATAATTTTGAGGTTTAGTACCCAAAAATTTAATAAAGGTTTCAGTTGTTGTTATTCATTGAAAACGTTACCAAGTACATATTTTCATATTGAAATATGTACAAAAGTGAATTATTTCTAAGTTAATTAGTTACCTTTAATTAAATTTGTGCTGTTAGGTATAAAGTATAATTTTATCAAAATTATGCAAATTTTTAAAATTTAGATTAATGAGAAAGCTCATCTCGTGATAGCATACTTATTATATAGATTTTTACTACAATTCTCAATTTAATAGTATATAAGTTTATAAATTATAGAATTTATTACATATTGCCTCTATTGTACAGCAAAAGCCAGTTGAATTTAGTTTAAATTTAGAATTAATATTTATTTTCAATGTAAGTTAGTCATATGCCGCATTTATTCTTTATGTAGATTAATAACTCATGCTTGTTTTTTGCAGTGAAATTAGTTTGTGTAAAAAACTTGAATTAAAATAATATAACATGTACGATCTACAAGACTGTTATTTACTACAGAGATTAAAAATATTTTCCAGGAAACCACACAATGACCCATGAGGTAAATATAAAACGAAATTTTATAAAATTAATATTTTATTTTGATGAATGCGCAAAGTGCAATGAATTTTGTTGAGATTAAAAAAACAAATTTGAGACCCATAAACTCTGATGTTAAATCTGTTGATTTGACGCAATTTATTAAGCCAGCCACATAAAATGATCTTTACTTTTATATTATTTTGTTTAGAGATTGTAGTATTACTTGAGTGTTTCTAATATCTCCATTTTTATTGCTATGTCGAATTAGTCCTCGAAAAGTACACTTAATTATATTGACGTCTTCCTATTAACGAGAATGGTTTTGAAAGTTTCATTAAGGTGCCATCAATTTGCGCACCGATTCGGAAATTGAAGGGTAAGAGTTTGTTGTGAAATCTTTATTACTTAAGAGACAACACGTAAATTATTTAGACGAAATCTTATTACGCAGGCATGAACTCGATCAGAAGGTAAAATCTGCAAAATTTTTAAAAATAAACCTATAATTTTTAATTTTATTCCGTGAGATTACTGTCTCGAAAAAACTAGCATTAACCTTAAGGATCTAACACAATAATTTATAGCATTTTATTTTAAGTTGGGAAAATATTTTGAATTATATAGATTTGATATATTATAGTCTTTATAAAATTTGATGAACATATAATTGAGGTACATTATAAGTAATTCGCAGGCTAATTGATGTGTCGAAGCAATTTAAAACTGGGTGGGTATAAACCCCATAATCAAATTGCATTAAATTTTCTTCGATTTTACATATGAAACAATATTTAAAAAGTGAACTAAATCCCTATCTGATATGACTGTATTCATGCATTACAAAAATGAATTTCTGCATTCTTGAACAATATTATATCAGGCGGAATTTGCATTTCATTCTCGAATTGCATTGAATATACGTAATACAAACAATTGTACACAATAGCAAATTATTTGAACATAAAAATAAATCTTTTAATATTTTCTTATAAGCCATTTAAACTATAATTACATTTTATTTTATCATGAGCGCCTCAATTATTTAGAAGTGTGTACCTAACCTACTATCAAAATCAAATAAAATATTTGTTTGGTAGTTGCATAATGCACTGTACACTCGCACTATTCAGTTTTGTAATATTGAATTTAAATACTTTATATAGTGTCACGATTGATTTAATAGCAGTTTGCAAATAACAACCATATTTTGAGCATATGAACTTCATTTGAATAATATGGGAATAATAGTTTCTGCAAATACGGATATTATTACACAATAATATACTGAGAGTATATGGTTAAATTAAATTTTGATAAACCGTGAAACAATTATAATATTTTTCTCAATCTTTACTCAGTTTTATTCTTAAATTACTATTTCTATGACAGAGTTGCTATAAAATTTATAAATATCAAATATATTTTGCCCTCACTTGAAAGTATTAGAATATCCTACAGATATCCTTTACTTTACTTGATATAAAGTTTGCTTGACATTTCAAACATACATAACTTTAAATTTCTGAAGTGGCATTATTTTTCAATAAAATGATGTATCCTTACAATCTTATCTTGAAAGTATTCTTGACTTATGGCATATATACAAAATATCACTTGAGAAGTTTTCTATTGAAAAACTATCATCTGAACTTCTTCAATATTTGATATCGATGAGATGGTTGAACTTTGCAGTATCCCTCATAAGCAATTCAGGGGGTTGGATGCAGTACATGTATCAACTAAGTGGTGCATAGCATTGGGACTTGAGGCAAATTGCTAGAACTTCAACAACAATTGATCACTGGTTGATAACAATTGTTTTAATTTTTTTAATATATTTTTTATATTTTTATATTTTATATTGTTTAACAGCAATCAGAACCTTACGTCCTATGAGCTGTTGGGCTGAAACTTCTCCTTACTTCGTATTTTTTAGATAGTAACCCAATTGTTAATCCACCCAGATTTGATGATTTTGTTATTAGAATTAATCTAATAGGGCTGACATTTTATTGGTGCAGCAATGCCGGGTGAGGGCTATTTTCACTTGGAAACATATTGCTATCTATATTTCCAAGTGAAAATTGTTGTCACTGCTGCCTGACAACAGGCTGCTCGAAGTGGATATCGAACCCGGGACCTCTGAAACAAGTCCCGTCGCTCTTAACCGCTTACCTACGGGCGAGCCCCAGTTAGAAAACTGATACAGAAATATTATGAATTTAGTTTAAATAGTTTCCTTAATTTTTGACTGAAAGAAAATTAAGCCATTAAAATTTGAAAGGTAATGAGTAAATATCTTGCAAATTCCTTACAAATTTGTAGTGTTAACAACATGCATAATGTGTTAATTTGTGAAAACTTGGGGAAATTATGTCATTGTATTGGTGTGTGGTCTTAGAAATGTCATTCACGGTTACGGTTCAAAAGTTTAATCCAAAAACAAACAAGAAATAGTCTCAGTTTGACCAATGCTCTGGTCTGTACTTAAAAGATCATAATTGTCTAACTACCGAATACAAATGTTTTTCTAATTTTTTTCTTGATAGCTACGATCAATATTACCAATCATTTTTGACTTGACGTTGAATTCTGGGACACCCTGGTTGTATGTATGTAATATATTGATTGTAACGTTATTTGTTCATCGAATTGAAATCAAGAAATGTATCCTTTCCGATTGCATTCGAGGAATTGTGTAATAAATAAGAAGCACGTCACCGCAACATTTGTAAATCCGACATTTTCGTTCCGCAGGATCGGAATCGGAATCGGTCTCTCAGTTCTGTACCGTGGAAACTGCGCAATTTTCGCACAGCGCATCTGTCGGTCCCGCGTGGCGTGTGGGCGGCTTACAGCATTCTGTATGCGGATCCGCGGCGTTGCGTGGGCTCTAAATGTCAAAGTTGAACCGAAGGAAGGCGAGCCTCGGACGTGCCACAGCGCACAGGAGCACTGTCCGGGGTCCGACGTGTTATAAAACATTCTGTTAATTACATATCTCAACATGAGAATCTTTCCATGATGCCACCATCCGATACCTACGATGAGTTGAGAGATAAAGCCCTTCGTTGACCAGATGATCGCGATAGAAACGCAAAAGCATCAAAAAATATTCTTAAATTTTGTGGTATAATTATTTCTCATATTTAACTGCCTAAAGGGTAAGTTATAGTAATTGCAAAAAAAATTAAAATTGATTTTTTTTTGTTTATGAATGTGCGGATACAAATTTTTTGCAGATATTTTAGAGAGCACGATTCAACCGACTTGAATGATTAAAAAAACATTTCATTCCTATTGCCTATCTTTACGTTTTAAAGATTTCTGAACATTTTGACATACCTTAGAAAAAAATGTATGTATGTGTGTGTATATGTAATTATGCATGTGAATGTATGAATATGCGGATACAATTTTCAACCGATTTGAAAGGTTCAAAAAACATTCCATTCACTTATTGATGGAAAGACATGCTATTGTATTCCGGTATTTTGTCAAAGGCAGGCCCAGTACTGTATGTGTGTGTGTGTGTGTATTTACGTGTGTGTGTAGGTATGTGCGGATACAATGTTTCGTCGACATTTTTGAGAGCACTGTTCAACCGATTTGAAAGGTTCAAAAAACATCATCTTTCCTATGAAAGATGTGCTGATTATTTTTGGCAAAGAAGGTCCAGCCGTTTTGATGATACGAAAAAAGTGCTTGCAATGAAGATACGATCAGATGAAAGTGAGTTCATTAATGAAAAAACATTACAACAGTGACTCTTATGATAAAAGTTCATGAGTAGTTCTTCATGAGTTACATTCAAATAACCACTTAATTTAAATATTCAATTTTTTTTATAAGTGTGGACCAGATTTGTTGCATTAAATAAATATTTCTACCTATGTAGTGTTTTCGGTTCTATTTAGATTCTGAGTATTATGCTTTTCTGAAGAGGTATGTGTATTTCGTTGTCTTTTTTTAACTATAAAGACAAAGCTGATTGGAAATAGTGAAAACCATGTTATAAATATACAAATTTTCTTCACTGAAGTATTTATTAATAGGCGAATATTCAAACATTGAAAAAATTAAATATTTTTAAATTGAATTAGTTGTTTAAATTTTGATTGACTTGAGATTATAGTTTGCAATTACGACTGCAAGCCATAATGAAATTTTGGGGTTTTGATGCAATATTTACGTTAGCATTAAAATATATTTTTATAATCTCAACAGATAGAGATGGGTTGTTTTATCGAAATACCGGATTGAGGAATGTACAACAAAATTTTTTTTTTTTATTATTCTCTTTATTGAATTACAATCTGTCTTTACAAAAAGAAGGACATTCAGTAATTTTGATGATATATGAAATATTAAACATTAGATTTAAAAGGTTACCCAGTAGTAAGCGTTTTCAATTTTGATATATTAAATTTAAATTTTGTCATTATCTAGAGTAACAAGAATATTTAATAGATCAAATTCTTATTGCTGCTAATATATAAAAATGCTGAACATATTTTGATAGAAAGCTTTAAAGAACTACTTCATTTAATTTTATTTCATTTAACTTCAACCCAGACTGAGACTTTATATAAAATTAGTAACTTGTACGCATATTATTTTATTAGTAACTCATATGAGTAATAGAATTATATGCGTATAAACTACTAAATTTATTTAAATTAAGTTATATACTCTGCTATAATAAATAGCAACTAAAAACTTGTGACAACAAAACATTATTTCTATTATCCTTTACAGTAATATTCTATGTTTGAAATTGTAAACAATAAATAGCATATAACGTCTAGCTATAAAGTTAATTTACAACTGTTGAGTTAGTCTGCTGGGAATATAGACGTCAATTAAAATTTGTCTAATGTCGTGTAAAAGCCATTTCGACTTAGTAGAGAATATCTGAAGTCGTATGTGGTTTCAGTTAGATAGTTTACGTCTACTGCGTAGAAGACGCATCGGATGACCGTCTCTGTCGAAGGGTGGAAGGACATAACAATTCCATGA